ATCTTGACAGGAGTCAACTGCTTCATCTTTCTCCCATTGAGCTGCTGGTGGGTTTGAACCAACAACCTTCTGTTTAGCAGCTGTGTGCCTTAAATAATGTGATCAGAGCTCCTAGGTGATAGTTAATTTTATTTGAAAAAGTCCTTCCTAAGAAACAGTGTACTACAGGAATATATTTCATGCTGTTTGGAATTTGAAACTGCTGGTCAAACAATGGATAAAGCGTTTTTATTATCGTTGTTGTTTTCCCTCACATTAGCATTTGCTCTTTGTTACCTCAGGATGCTAGTAAAATGTTTCCCTTCTGCTTAATGCATTCTGTCAATGAGTGCCTGCACCAGGCTCCGCAGTAACTGCACACGTGCGCCCACCTACTTCCATCTACTGGGGAAGGGGCGGATTGCAACTCTAATCCAATCAATTCAATCAGACGCTTAAAAATCATTACGTAATGGCTTTGGATATTGGCCAGCATCCAGACTGCTGGCCTCGCTTTGTTTCCACATGCTTTGGAAACTACACATTTTACCCTCAAAAAACTGTCAAAAATGCTGGGAAAGGGAAGATGAGATATGAATTAAAATGAGCCAACTGCACTTCTGTTGCCATTTTTTTTCCCCCACTGGCAGTAGGTAACATGAGTCCATTATGACAAGTCTGTCCATTCACGTCGTCACACAGCATACGCTTATTGTGCAAGGACCTACTGTGTGCTAGGATCTGAGGAGGTGTAGTGGTTAAAGCACTTGTCTACTAACTGAACGGTTAGCTGTTGGAACCCAGCAGCCGTTGAGCAGTAGAAAGAGGAGGCAGCTTGCTTCTGTAAAGAGGGCAGCTTTGGAAACCCTATGGGGCACTTTTGCTGTGTCCTATAAGATCATTAGGTGTTGGATTCAACTCCACGGCTGTGGGTTTTGGGGAGCATCTCTTAAGGAGCCATAGTGGTACAGTGGTTAAGTGCACGCAGCTGAAAGATGGTTGGTTTGAAACCACGCACTGAGTGACTCTGCAGTGGAAAGACCTGGTGCTGTGCTCCAGTAAAACCTTGAAAATCCTACGGGGCCATCAGGCTTTGTCCTCTGGGGGTGCTGCGAATCGACTCCACGGCAGTGGGTGTGGTTTGGGCTTTGCTTCTGTGAAGACTGACAGCCTTGGAAACCCTGTGGGCAGTTCCACT